AGATTGTTTTTGGGACCTCTCAGGCGGGAGCTTCCTTACCAGAGATATTTTGGGACCTCTCAGGCGGGGGCCTCCTTACCAGAGAGTTTTTTTGTTCGGGACCTCTCAGGCGGGAGCCTCCTTACCAGAGAGTTTTTTGGGGCCTCTCAAGCGAACGCCTTTGCAGTTTGTTCTTTTTTGTTTGACCTTTCAGGCGAAGTTGCCCCCTCAGAGACTATGATTACGGCGGGGGCGTTGGTTAAGGAATGTGCCCAGGAGGCCTCAGACCTTGGGGGATTCCTTATCCGATGAGGGCGGCGGCGACATTCACGGCCCATCCACACTTGGAGCTCCGCCAGCTTCCAAACCTTGGACTCCTTATCCAATGATTCCTCACTGTCCGCAACGCGCGGGTCGAGCCGTACAAGCGCGACGCGTACGACAGGGAGAACCGCCTCACGATGAACAACAACGCCAGGGCGCGGAAATCCGAAGCAGGCAGTTGGCTCAGGCACCTGGTCGGCGCTAGCGTCCTCCAGTGCTGCGAACCAGGGTCAACCACCATGGCGTGCGTCTCCGTGCTGGGGCGCAAGATGACGACCGCCATCATCGGGGACTGCAAGATCTGGGTCTTCCGCTATTCGGAAACCACTCACAACTTGCGGCTGCACCGGGAGTCGACCGCGCAGCAGGAGACGCAGTTGTCAGACGGCCGCTGGCTCCCGAATCAGATCTACATGAACACCAAGGGGACCTTCCAGAACACGTCCCTTGTGTCCGCGTATATGGACAAGGCCAGCACGGACGTGGTCCCACTGGAGGTGTGGGACATCGTGATCATGGGGTCCGACGGCCTGTGGGGGAATCCTCCTGGCAACGACATGCTGCGTGCGTTGAACAATTCCCTGGGTTCGCATGACGACCCGGATGCCATCGCGAAGGGTCCATTGCAGGCCGCGCTGACAGCTGGACTCAAGGAGGACCACGTCTGCTGCTGCGTCGGCATTGCGTTCCCCGTGGATCTGGCGCAGGCGCAAGCCGCGCGCTGTAGAGAGCCATTCCTCTCCATCGTCCTCGCCCGGTCCTCCTTCCTGCCCCCCATCCCCTCCCTCCGCCCTTCGGCATCTCATTGCGCGTGTGTACAAGCCCCACCGCATTTTCCAATGTCCGCCGTTGTTCCCGATTGGCGTGAATGTTGTCCCGAAAACATCACAAGTTGTATTTGTGTCATACGTAGCGGATGGAAAAAATGTTAGCCTCATAATAGTATCGCTCTGTCGCGAGGCATTTGTTTCCTTCGGCAAAGCGACCAGATTCGCAGCCCGCCCGCGTGTGCGCGCCGCCAGAGGCCCAGAAACGATGCGTGCATATGTGTGTCATACGTAGTTGATGAAAACACACATTGCTCGCTCAACAATAAGATCGCTCTGCTGCGACACATTCGTTTCCTTCCCGACCGCGTATGTGCGCCGCCAACGACCCAAAAACTATGCGTACATATGTGCGTCATGCGTAGTTGATTTTTTTAAAAACAAAAAACACAACATTGTTAGCTCAATAGTAATATCGATCTGTCGCGAGGCATTTGTTTCCTTTGGCAAAGCGACCAGATTCGCAGCCCGCTCGCGTGCGTGCACCGCCGGAGGCCCAGAAACGATGCGTACATATGTGTGTCATACGTAGTTGATGAAAAAAAAACACATTGGTAGCCCAATAATGATATCGCTCTGTTGCGAGGCGTTTGTTTGCTTCGGCAAAGCGACCAGATTCGCAGCCCGCTCGCGTGCGTGCACCGCCAGAGGCCCAGAAACGATGCGTACGTATGTGTGTCATACGTAGTTGATGAAAAACACACATTGGTAGCCCAATAATGATATCGCTCTGCCGCGACAAATTTGTTGCCTTCGGCAAAACGACCAGGTTCACAGCCCTCCAGGTCGCTCCAAGACGGCCCACGGGACCCCGAAGAAGGACCCAAGACGGCCCAGGAGACTCCCCAGACAACCCAAGTGTGCCCCAAGAGCGCCCCGCGAGAGGGCCCAGAGGGGGACCGCGCACCGATATTTCGAGGCCCATGGCCCCTGATGCCCCCAGAAGGCCCCCGGAGGCCACCAAGAGGCTCCCAAGAAGCCCCGTAAGGCCCCCATTAGGCCCCCAGGAAGCCCCAAGAGGCCCCCAAGGGGCCCTGAGGGAACGCCCAAGGGGCCCCCCAACACACCCCAACAAATCATGTCGCCTGACAGCCTTTCGGGGACATGGTTCATCATCATGGGCCCGAGAGTTTCCGGAGGCTCTGAAGTAGCATCACGCTACCAGAGAGCTGTCTGGGAAGATACTTGGGAACATGACTGATCCCCTTCTCGCGGCCCTCCTAGGATCGTTTCGCACAAAGTTGCCCCGAGGGCCCTTTTGAACCGTATGGTAGCACCCGGGGCGTGTTTTGGTTTCTCTGGGCGCTGGGGCCCTAGTCTGTGACTTAGTGCTCGGCTTCAGCCGGATCTACGGATGGGGCCAGGAGGTCGGAGGTCTTCCAGAGAAGAACCAGAAGCGCTGGATGGATCTTGGGAGGCGTCCGTCCGACGACGACGACGACGAAGACGACGAAACGACGAAGATGACGACGACGACGACGATGACGACGACGACGGCGCGCCCCAAGAGGCGGCGACGACATCACGACGACGAAGACGACGACGACGACGACGACGACGACGACGACGACGACGACGACGACGACGACGACGACGACGACGACGGCACGCTCCCCAAGACGCCCCCGAAAACCGTGTTTCCAAAAGACCTTCTGGGAACCCGATTCATCAGGCCTCCGCCCCCCTACGCAACCATCTTCTCCGAAAACTTCCAGGAATACGGATTGATACGCATGGCGTTCTCATTACCCATGATGCGATTAGCGTGATGGACACTTCTGCATGTCCCGTTCAAGCCTTCTGTGGTCCACTACTTCGTGGAGTGAGCTCGTCAAGGCCTGGGGCCTGCTGGAACCTGAGCGCGCGCGAAGCGCGCGCGATGGTTCTAGTATATATATATATATATGTGCATATATATATATATATATATTATATATATATATATATATATATATATATAGATATATATATATATATACACAGACAGAGAGATACCGGTGTATGTATGTATGTATGTCCATATATAAGTGTGCCAATCTATGTACATGTATCAAACTGTGCCGCCGGCCGCCAGCCGACGTCCCCGAAGATCGACCCCCCAGGCTGGTATTTATGGATACATGCCCCTCTCCCAGATTGGAGTGGCCTGGTGGCCGTCGAGGCGAGGACTGGTTGCGAAGCGGCAGCACGTGGACGTGGGCAAGAGCCGTGGCATCGGGGCCGACATCGTGGCCGCGAGCGTGCGAATCTGACCGCTCGCGTGGTGCGGTTGACTGACTCCAGGCGGCGAGGGCGCTATGGACAGCGGGGGTCCTTCTCCCAGCGAGCACGGGGAGGGGCTCCCTGGGAGGGCACGGTAGGTTCGTGTCGTGTCGACCGGCGGCGACCCCGCCAGCGGCGTTCAACCTTGAACGCCGCGGGCGACCCAGAATCGTTCGATGTGGAACGATTTGGACGTTTCGGAAACGGCCGATCATTCAACGTTGAACGATCCCCGCGGTGTCAGAAACCAACGCCGGGGTCGTCACGACGCGAACCTGCCGCACGCGGTCTGGGCCATTCGGCCCTCTCGTGGCTGCGGGGCCGGAGCGCAGCGAGTGCAGCTGGTGCAGCGACGCCCACGACGGCGAGGCCGATCGAGGGCTTGGGCACCCGTCGCCTCCTCCTCCTTGTCCTTCTCCTCCTCCTCCTCGTCCTCCTCCTCCTCCTCCTCTTCCGCCTCCTCCTGCTCGTCCTCCTATCTGCTCCTCCTCCTCCTCCTCCTCCTCCTCGTCGTCGTCCTCCTCCTCCTCCTGCTCGTCCTCCTATCTCCTCCTCCTCCTCCTCCTCCTCCTCCTCCTCCTCCTCCTCCTCCTATTTCCTCATCATCCTCCTCCTCCTCCTGCTCCTGCTCGTCCTCTTCCTCCTCCTCCTGCGGACACCTATGCGGACATGATGTCGGTGATGTACGACTCGTGCAGCGGAACGGGGCAGGGGCGCGCGGGGGCCCGGCCCAGCAAGTCCCCTTCCCCCCGCACGGACCACATGGGTCCAAGGAGGCACGGTAGCATTGTACCCCTGCCTCGCCTCCTCCTCCTCCTGCTCCTCCTCCTCCTCCTCCTCCTCATCCTCGCAGCCTGCAGCCCCACGGGGGGGCCCACGCTGGACCCGCGAGGGGACCCGCACTGGATTCGCCTCTCTCTGAACCGACCCAGATGTGGCCCTGCAAGCAACTTTAGCAGCATGACGTGTCAACGCTTGGGGCCAACACCACGTCGAGACAGATCCACACTCGTGCGGTACTGCTACCTCATCGAGACATTCGGATGGCAGCTCCAAGGAGGCAACACGCAACATAATAAAGTCCGAGAAGTCTGTACCTGGCAGCACAAAATCACGTGTGGGAGCATGCTCGGTTATCCATTGGACCTCTGGCATGTCCCACCACATGGAAGGACAGTGCGGCAGACTAGCTTGACAATTGGCAATCACGAGGGCTGGCGTCTGAACTGCTTTCGCCGCTGCCCATGAACTGACAGAGCACGTTGGAGCTCGAAACGGAGTCGGCAGCACGAGGTGGCAAACCAACTAGGCCCCAAGGTCTCAACTGTGAGCGCGTGGGTATAGGACTACACTTCGGCGTCCAACGGTATTCCCACGTGCGTAACCGAATGAGACCAACAACTGCAACACTTACTTTAGAATGGATAAGCTCAAGCAGGTGCGATCTACATGTATGTCCTCCTCCTCCTCCTCCTCCTCCTCCTCCTCCTCCTCGCCCCCCTCCCTCTCCCCCCCTTGCCCTCCCCTTCCCTCCCGCCCCCGCCTTAGCCTCGCCCGCCGGGCGCGCCGCCTCTGGCCCTGGCCCGAGCACCCGACGCCCCCCCTTCCCCTTCCCCCCCCCCCTCGCCCGCCCGCCCCCTCGGCACGCACGCCGGCGGCGGGCGCCGGAGCCCACGTGGCCATGTCGGCCAGGCGGGGGCCACGGCCCGGCGAAACCCGCAAGCCCGCCCCGCGAGTTGGCCGCTGCACGTCTCGCCCGGCGGGCGATGTGTTGCCCCGCTGCGGGCCCAGGGCCCTCCACGGATCGATGCGGCTCGGCGGATGCCGCAGGAAGTTGGGGCTCGGGGCTCCAGTCGTGATCCTGTGCGACGTTTCGTGTGGCATCCCGGGCACCCGCAAGCCCGCCCCGAGAGTTGGCCGCTGCACGCCTCTCCCGGCGGGCGATTTTGCATCGTTGCGGGCCCAGGGACCGTCACGGATCGATGCGGCTCGACACATGCCGCAGGAAGACTGGGCTCGGGGCTCCAGTCTTGATCCTGTGCGACGATTCATGCTGTTTGGCGACGTCCGATCTCAGGGTGTTGAGCGGCGAGGGCCGGCAGGGGGGGAGCGAGGGGGTGGCGGCAGACGGAGGGCGTGGGCAGTTCATCACGCTCTCCGAAGGAGCGAGAGTGGGAATGGGTGGGGTGCAGGTGGGCGAAGGAGAGGGGGGGAGGCAGGAGGAGGTGGATGGGGAGAGAGGGGGGTGGCGAGGAAATTGGGGGATGAGGAAAATATTGCGCAGGAGGCAATGGAGGATATGGGGTAGGAGGGGGATGTAGTTGTTGACGATGATGCTGATGATGGTGATGATGGTGATGATGGTGATGATGATGATGATGATGATGATGATGATGATGATGATGATGAGGAGGAGGGTGATTATGAGGGTGATGATTATGATGATGGTGGCGATGATAATGATGATGCTGCTGCTGATGATGATGGTGATGCTGATTGTGATGATGCTGATGATGATGATGATGATGATGATGATGATGATGATGATGATGATGATGGTGGTGATGACGATGCTGATTCTGATGATGGTAATGATGATGCTGATGATGCAATGAGGATGATCACGATGATGGGGGTGCTGGGGGTGATGATGCTGATGCTGATGCTGGTGTGGATGAAAATGATAATGGGGATTATGACGATGATGATAGTGATGAGGAAGATCATGTGAGGGGGGTTACGAGGAGGATGATGATGATGATAATGAGGAGGAGGAGGAGGAGGAGGAGGAGGACGAGGACGAGGTGCAGGGTGGGATGGGTGGGGTGGGTGGGTGGGGGGGCAAGGAATGATGATGATGAGGAGGATCAGGAGGAGCGGGCGTTTTGGAAGGATCGCGTCCACGATCCCCAAGCACGTTTCGTTGGCAATTGCTTTGGGCGACGGGGTCCAGTGATCACATCGAAGACGCCTGCGGCGAACCCGTGCCACCCCTTGCCGTTTGGGAACGCCTACGTGGTCAAACCACAGGCCAACGTTGTGCAAACACCTGTGGCATCACTTGGGCGCGAAAGAGGCGGTCGGGACCCACGTTCTGTCAAATCATTGGTCTAATCATGTCTAAATGGACCATCTCTAATTAGAACAGCCCTCTACTCTTCTTCGGATTTTCTTACATCGCGAAACCCTGGGTCCGCCCTCCTGGCACTTTCCAGCCCGACGCGGCATATTCAGGTGCATTGTGGCGCTGGGCCGACTCATACGCTGTCCGAGGGTAATTTCGGATACCTTGCCCTGCCACTCACGAGCTAGCTATACCATTCCTGGGTGCCCCGAACAACCTCTTGCGGATTCTTGCGCGCCAGCATTTTGAGTTGGTGTCGCCATATACACATACTCTATCGGTCCGACTCCTCGTTGGATGATGGCTGCATGCGGTGGACACACGCCCGCGGCCAAGACCATGATTTACAGCAGCCAGACCTGCTGTGTCGCTCGCCTTCTTGCGATTGTCATCTGCGTGATTTCAGCGTTGGAGTGGATCGCAGCGAACGGGCAGCGGCAAATCGGGCTGGTATTTGTAGGGCCCTGTGGGGAGGTGGATGCACACGTTCTCAGGCATGAGTGCGGACACCGAGCGAAGCGCTGCGGCTGCCCCTCGGTCTTTCTCTCCTGGTGCCCCTTCGATCCGCTCGGCGGCGGCGGCGGCACCCCCAGGCAGACTGAAGTTCTCGGGAGCCCAGTCGGCAGGACTGCCAGCATGACCCCGTCAGCCCTTCAGGAGCGTCCGCTGCCTCCCTTGCAACTCTCCTCCTCGCCCTGTTCGGCAATTGCAATTCCCAAGGGCTTCCCACGGCCAGAAGGCATGACAGTATCAAGTCAAAAGGCCCGGTCTGAAGGCTGGCACCTTGCAACAAGGTCCGCTTCCTCTGTTGACATCCCCTCGGCGCAGTGGGTACGCTTAAGACGGGTCCGGGGTCCCATCCCGGCCACCATCTTGACCAGTCCCCCGAGCTGCGTCCAGCCGTGGCGACGAGGGCCCAGAAGAGGAGGGGAGGAGGAGGCAGACCGAGAAGGAATTGAATTTGTTTTGCGCGTGGAGGTCGTTCGCGAGGTCGTTTTGGACCGCCCGCTTTTCCACCTTTCGCTCGCTTCTCCGCCTCCCCCTCAGCCTCGTCCCACCCACCCCACTGCACTCCTTCTGCTCCTCCTCCACTTTCTTTCTTTTCGTCCTTCCCTCGCTCCCTTCCATTACTGTATCCTTCGCTTCTCTACCTTACTCCCGCCCTCCTCCCATCCCTGAGCTCTCCATTCCCAAACATTCCCTCTTCCCTCTTTCCACCCCGCTCTTCCTCTTTCTCACACCTCCCGCTGCTCCCTCCTGGTCCTTCTCTTTTTCCTCCTCTTCCTCCTCCTCCTCCTCCTCCTCCTCCTCCTCCTCCTCCTCCTCCTCGTCATCCCCCCCTCGTCCCTCCTGCCTGCCCTCCTCCCCCTCCCCCTCCCGCCTCGGCCCCCCTCCCCCTCTCCCCGTCGCCCTCGCTTCCCCCCCCCCACCTTCCCCGCCCCCTCCCCCCCCCTCCTTGCCCTCCCCCCCATCACGCCGCCGCCGCTCGCCCGCCGCCGCCGCTGTTCGGACCCCCCGCGGAGGGCGTCTCGCCCTTCTTCCCGGAGGGCGCCGGCGGCGTGGAGCGCCGCCCGAGCGGCCCTCTGCAGCCCGGGCAGGCGCGGGGGGATCCGCCCTCCGCCTCGCGGAGGGGGGGGTACCTCACTCCTCCTTGTCCTCCTCCTCCTCCACCTCCTCCTCCTCCTTCCCCGTCTAATTACTCGTCCTCGTCCTCGTCCGATTATAGGCTGTAGTCCGAGCCGATATCCACCATGTGAGTTGAAATTGGACGGTCCGCTATCGTAACATTGGGTGGGCCACATCAACTTCTGATTGCCAGAATACGCCCTGATGATGTCCCCTGACTTTGTGAATTGAACTGCGCGCCGCCCTGAAACTGCGATCCCCCCATTGCTGAATCGCTGGTAAATGTTCTCAAGGTCTGTGTGGCTCGGTGTGACCTCAATCTCTGTACTTTACGGTCTCGGATGCGTCGATTCGTGGGTCTGCTCACGCTTGCATCTGCCTCATGATGTATGGCGTCGCAAGGTCGCCAAAGAGAACCATGTTCGCGATCATGCCGGCGCATGGTCAGCAAGTACGGAATTGAGACTGTCGCGGCCTGTCTCCCCTTGTGGATGTTGGCGCGCCTGGCCAGTCGCCCGCTGTGAGCCCCCCCGCCTTTGTGTCGCGGGCCGGGCGGGGAGGGCACGACACCCACCGAGTCGGGCAACGGTTCACTCCTCCGCCTCCTCCCCCTCCTCCTCGCCCTCTTTCTCCTCCTCCTCCTCCTCCTCCTCCTCCTCCTCCTCTTCCTCCTCGTTCTCCTCCTCCTCCTTCTCCTCCTCCTCTCCCCCTCCTCATCCTCACTCCTCACTCCTCCTCACTCCACACTCCTCCTCATCCCTCATCATCCTCCGCCTCCTCCTCCTTGTTCTCGTCCCTCCTTCTTCTCCCCCTCCTCCTCCTCCGCCTCCTCCTCCTCCTCCTCCTCCCTCTTCCCTCCTGCCTGCCCCCCTCCCCCTCCCTCTCCCGCCTCGGCCCCCCTCCCCCTCTCCCCGTCGCCATCGCTCCCCCCCCCCCCCCTCCCTGCACCCTTCCCGCCCCCTCCTCGCCCTCCCCCCCATCACGCCGCCGCCGCCCGTCCGCCGCCGCCGCTGTTCGGACCCCCCCCCTCGGAGGGCGTCTCGCCCGAGTCGGGCAACGGCTCACTTCTCCTCCTCCTTCTCCTCCTCCTCCTCCTCGCCCTCCTTTTCCTCACTCCTCCTTCTCCTCCTCCTCCTCCTCCTCCTCCTCCTCCTCCTCCTCTCCCCCTCCTGGTTAATTCTGCCTCCTCCTCCTCCTCCTCGTTCTCTTACCTGGTTGTTTGTTGACTCCTTCGGTTCTTGCATCGTTCTGGGGCTCTCCTCGCCGACGCGGCCTTGCACCTCCCCGCAAACCTCCCCACTTCGCCCTCCGCCCTCCCTCCTCCCACCTCCATCCTCCCTCGCTCCTCTCGCCGTCCTCCCTCTCCTTCGTCCCAGCAGGAGCAGGATGATCCAGTAGGTAGGAGGGGGAGGATGAGGAGGAGGAGCCCGAGGAAGACGAGGAGGATCTGGAGGAGGAGGAGGAGGAGGAGGAGGAGGAGGAGGAGGAGCTCGAGGAAGACGAGTAGGATCACCAGGAGGTGGAGGAGGAGAAGGAGGAGGGAGATTAGGAAGAGGAGGAGGAGGATCAGGAGGATGACGAGGAGGGCGGGGGTGATCAGGAGGAAGGGGAGGATAAGCAGCGGGGGGAGGAGGATTAGAAGGAGGAGGCGCGTCCCTCCTCGTATTCCCCCTCCTTCGTCGTTCCTTCTCGCGTCCGCAAGCGCCCAGGTGTTGTAGTCGACTGGACGTGCAACCTGGTCCGTTCTGGTCGCGCGCCGCGGCTAGGACGGTCCGCGGAGCCGTATCCGCTCGCCGTCCGCGCCCGCGGAGATAGCGGAGACAGACGAGCGGAGGACCACCGACGCTTTCGCGCGCGAGCCCGCGCCCGAGTGAAGTAACCAGCTGCGCCCGCGCAGCGCCCGACGCGTCCTGTATAGCCTCGAGCGCTGCAGTGCCGAGGATCACCGGCTGGCGGTTGGGGCCTCGGGCTCTGACGTCGGGGGCAACGCCTAGGATGAGGAGGAGGAGGAGGAGGAGGAGGAGGAGGAGGAGGAGGAGGAGGGGGGGACGCAGCGACCCCCGGGGCGCCCCGTCCATGGCCGACATGGTGGCCGGATGGCCCACCCCGCCCGGGGACGCGCTGGCTCGCCGTCGGGGGCCTATCGCCGAGCTATCGGCGATGTGCCACCGATTTCCAACCCGAGGCTTCCGTCCCCCGAGCCGGTCCCCCTTCACGAGGCCAGTCTGTAGACGTAAGCGGGGGGGGTGCTCCCGATCGAGGCCCCCCGTGGCCAGACAAGGCCCTTTCGCCCCTTCCGTAGGGACCATCGAAAGAACAGACTTTGGACGCACGGTGACTTTCTGAATGTTCCTCCGCATCGTGTGTGTGTGTGTGTGTGTCTTGTTGCGCGCGCGCGTGTGTATGTGTGTGTGTGTGTGTGAGTGTGTGTGTGTGTGTGTGTGTGCGCGTGCGTGCGTGCGTGCGTGCGTGCGTGCGTGTGCGTGCGTGTGCGTGTTTGCGTGCGTGCGTGCGTGCGTGCGTGCGTGCGTGCGTGCGTGCGTGCGTGCGTGTCTGCGTGCGTGCGTACGTGCGTGTGCGTGCGTGTGCGTGTTTGCGCGCGTGTGTGTGTGTGTGTGTGTTTGTGTGTATGCGGGGTGCTAGGCTTTATCGTTGGTGCAGCCATTCTGCCTCGCCGCCGACGGGAACAAGTGTATGTGGTGTGTGTATGTTGTGTATGTTGTATGGGTGTAGTGACGTGTGTGTGTGTGTGTGTGGTGTGTGTGTGGTGTGTGTGTGTGTGTGTCTGTATGCATGCGTGCGTGCCCGTGTGCGTGTCTGCGGCCAGAGCCCGTTTTCGGCCCCATCCCCGTACCTGTAACAAAGGTCTGTCCGCGTCGAACGACTGCACCCCGGGAAGGGGCCGAGAGCTGTGGGGATCGCGTCGTGATGGTATCGCGAGGTCGGTCCCTAGACAGCCGACGTCACGGCTTTTCGTGGCGTGGCGGTCTGAACCTCCCCATCCCAGGGACCTATGTTTCATCTCATTTCGTTTGTGATGTATCTGGGCCTCGAACCGGGCCTCTGGAGGTTCAGAACTGTCCGAACACCTCGATGGCCAGGCTTCGGCTTGCGCACAGACGGCCTCCGCCATGTAGTCCTGGCTGGCCTCAGCAGGCCCTCCGAGTAGTCCCAGCTGGCGTCAACAGGCCCCCCCGAGTAGTCAGGGGCGGCCTCAACACCCCGACCTGGAGCGCGGAGCGCCTCAGGGGCGCGGCCGGAAGCGGCGCCATGATGATGAGACTACCCCGGACTATTCGGGGGGCCTGTTGAGGCCAGCTGGGGCTACTCGGGCGGCCTTCGAGGCCAGCCAGGACTACCCGTGGGGGCTGTTTGTGCACAAGCCGAAGCCTTACCATTCTCCGTGGCGATCTCGTCGATCACCAGTATCTCCAGAGAGTGGTTCTGGACGGCCTCCTTCTCCTTCACCTCCTCCTCCCCCTCCTTCTCTCCCCCCCTCCTCCCGCCTCCTCCTCCCCCCTTCTCCTCCCCCTCCTCCTCCCCCTCCTTCCCCCTCATTCTCTCTTTCTCCTCCCCCCTCCCCAACCTCCTCCTCCCCCGCCTCCTCCTCCTCCTTCTCCTCCTTCTCCTCCTCCTCCGTCTCCTCGTCCTCCCCCCCCTCCTCCTCCTCCTCCACTCCTCCTCCTCCTCCTCCTCCTCCTCCTCCTCCTCCTCCACCGCCTCCTCCTCCTCTTTCCCCCTCCCCCTCCCCCGCCTCCTCCTCCTCCTCCTTCTCCTCCTCCTCCTCCTCCTCCTCCTGATGCTTCTCCTCCTCCCGGGCTGGGTTCCCTGCGAGGGTTTCCTGCGGCCGCGTCCGCAGTGTACTTCCTCCTCGGAAAACTGTGACGAAAGTATGTGATCGTAGCGGTCGTGCGTCGAAAGCAGACCTGTATCATCGATGTTGGGCACACATGGCCACTCATGAAGCTGCCAGCAGATGCGGACGACAGAGATGCAACGAGACCAAATATAAAGAATGGAAGCCCAACGGAGTGTAGAGTAACCTTGCACGCAGCTGCGAAGGGGGGATAACACACCAAACTCTACTTGCTCCTGCTCCTGCTCTTGCTCCTCCTCCTCGGTGCCTTTCCGCGCAGGCGGAATCATGCTCATACTATGCCCTGAACTTGGCAGAGTGAACGCAGTACTTCATTGTAGCAGAATTTGTACTGTGACATCTCGTGAGTCTACATACTGTGTGGAATCACTAAGTGTCGCCTTGCTAATCCAGTGTTGCGAGTTGGACGCCCTGGGGGTCTCTTGGGGTCGTTGGGAGGCCGTCGGGGGGGCCCTGCTGGGTCCTCTTGTCGGGCCCTCTCGGGCAGTCTCGGGCCTCTCTGGGCCGTCCTGGAGCTTTCTGGCGGCTGCCTGGCGGCCCTCTTGGCTCGTTTGGGGCCTTGTTGGGGCTCCCGCGTGCTGTGAACCTACATGCTAAACAGTGTCAGGGTCTTTGGCCTCCGCCAGTTGTGGCCCACTACGCTTCGGCGCGACACGCTAAGCGCATCCTGGTCCCCAGGCGTCGTCGCCCCGAGCCTCTCCTGGCCTCCCGCCCCGCGGAGCGGAGAGGCACGCCCTCCGCTCGAAGGGAATAGCCCGTCGCTGGGGCCGCCGCCGCGACGCGGTAAGCAGAGGTTGCTGACCGCATCCCAGACAGCCGATGCTGGTTTCTAATTTTTGTTCGAGTGCGGGGCCCCCAGAAGTCCCCACTGCTTCCACAGGGCTGGCTCTTCCTCGTGGGCTGCTCTTTGGCGGCCCTGGGGCCCGGCGAGGCCCCGCGGAGGCCGAACACGGGCTACCCCGGGCGGAGGCCACCCGTCGCTATCTTTTCCCACGGCGCGGGCGTGTCTGGGCGTGTGCGCCACGAGCAGCTCGCAGCCGCAAGTCCTGCGGCGCAGCCCCCCCCCCCCGACCCTCTCCCCCTCCTCCTCCTCCTCCTCCTCCTCCTCCTCCTCCTCCTCCTCCTCCTCCTCCTCCTCCTCCTCCTCCTCCCCATCGTCTGCCTCCTGCCTCTCGTCCTCCCTCTCCTCCCTCCTCCTCCCCTGTTCAGGCGCAGCCGCAAATCGTCATGTGCCACTTCGGGGACCCCGGGCAGCCCTTCCAGCTGCACAGGCTCGACGACGCGACGCCAGCCTCGGCAATCCGACCAGGACTGGTCGGCATCGTCGCCGTCGCCGTCGTCGCCGTCGCCGTCGTCGTCGTCGTCGTCGTCATCGTCATCGTCGTTGTTGTTGTCCTCGTCGAGCACGTCGTCGTCGTCGTCGTCGTCGTCGTCGTCGCCGCCGTCGTCGTCGAGCACGTCGCCGTCGGCGTCGTCGTTTTTGTTGGGTTCGATGCTCTTGGACGGTTTCAGTTGTTTCTGTGCTTCTGGGGGCCTCTGGATGCCTCCAGGGCTGCCCAGCTGGGGACTTCGGAGACTTCTGAGGCCTCGGAGACCTCGGGGTATCTTTGGGGCGTTGTTGTCGTTGAGGTCGTCGTAGTCGTCGTCGGCGAGAATGGATTCCAGGAGAAGGAGGAGGAGGCGAAGGAGGAGGAGGAGGGGGAAGGGGACGATCATGAAGTATTGGGCGCCCTCGAGTTTTCAAGATTGCTATTTTTCGATTTCTCTTACGGCTCATGTTGCAATTTTGAGGGTCTCAACCTTACACGCAGCAGCGTTGAGTGGAGGCATGGGTACACACGGGGCATGTGAGCGATGGGGAAGGAGGAGGAGGAGGTGGAGGAGGAGGAGGAGGAGGAGGAGCAGGAGGCGAGGAGGTGGTGCAGGAAACCGCTGACGGTGATGTGGCGAATGCTGGAGGCGATGACGCACCTGCGCAGTGCGCCTGCATGCGGACGCAGATGCGGCGGGCGACCGCGCGCGCGGGCGAGACGGCCTCTGTGCGGCTCGGTGCAGACGGGCTCCACGCGCCTCCCCGCTGCTCCCCTCGGCCTTCCCCCCCCCTCCCGACGCGCCCGGGCCCCAGGGGCGGGCAGGGCGCCGGGCGCCGCGACCTCCGTGCCCTCGGCCGCAGGGAGGGTGCCCGCGCGGCAGACACGCGGTGCCGCCCGCGGAATATGGGGACCGCGCCCGGCGGCCTGGCCGGCCGCGGCGCCCCGACTGGGCGGGCGTCGTCAAGCCGCTCGGAAGGAACGGAGATTTCTTCATTATTATGTGTATCGTTATTATTGCTACTTTTGTTATATTTCGTATTAATCTTATTATTTTTCTGATTCGTATTGTTACAAGTATGAATGCGATATACATATGTGAAGATATCCTGGCAAGTTTACTTGCGTGGGCGGGCGGGGGCGCTGAACCTGAAGCAGGCCGCAAACGACTTGCGAGTGCGGGAATCACGAAACAGCACTTGCACTCTAGAGTTCGTTTGAAGAGGGACAGAGGGGGGAGGGGGGGCGAACGCCATGCGTGTAAACTTGCTTGAATTTGCAAAAATGCAGGCTCACGCTGTCAGGAGGAAGGGGGGCCGCCGGCCTCCCCCCCCGTTCCCTTTGTCCCACGGAGCACGGCGGCAAAGGTAAAATCGTCGGCCCCAAGGGCGCCGAGGTTCGAGTTGGCGGCGCGGCATCTCGGGGGCCACGGTGCCTGGCGAGAGCTTGTTTCCCGCATGCGAGTTGGCCGGCGAAGCCGAGTCCGACCGACCGACCGCCCCGCCGAAAAATGCAAGGTTGGCGAGGGTGGACGAGGCGCCGTGCTGTGAGTTATCGGCTTGGTCAATGAATGCGCTGCCTTTCCCGGCCGCGTATTACGGGCAGCAGGCGGGCGACGCATGCTCCCAGACCGCAGCAGTCATCGGCCTCGTCTTGGGACAGCTTGGGGTCGCTTTGGGACGACTCTTTTCCCTTTGTGCTCTTGATCCAGCGGCCGACATGGCATCGAGGAGGAGGGGGCGCGTTCGGCTTGCACCCGCGGAAAGAGGTGCGTGGTCTTCCACAGGGCACGTCCAGTGATCGGGCTCTTCCATTGCATCCATGATGTTACGAAGTCCAATCGAGGTTGGTCACGTAGGCTCCCGCTCCAGGGTTTTGCCAATAGGCGTCCGCGCGGAACGAGGGGTGGCATGAGCTTCGCTGCTAAATGATCGAAGGTCCATGTGGGCCCCCAGTCGATGCGTTACGGGCCTCCTCGTTTCAGTCCCAATTGAGATTCCTGTCCCATCTGCCCCATCATATCCTTCGTTTTTGTCTGCGGGTGCGTCTCCGTCCTTCCCTGGCGCCATTTTGTACGCAGCCGGCGATGCGCGTGTGCCCAATTTTGGGAGGAGCAACGGTATCCAGGACCAGAAGGAGGGGGAGAAGGACTCCGAGGCCCGAAGTCGTATAAACCACGGCGTGGTGAAATACTTACCAGTGAAGTCCCATGTGCAGTATTGCTGCGTACCTTCCCAAAACTGATTGATCTGTGGGGTTCCCGTGGTTTTGAACAAGAGGATGCGGTTCCCTTGAGACGTTTTCTCTCGACTTGCAGAGGCGACGGCGGTGGCGGCGGCGGCGGCGACAACGACAACGCCGACGAGCTCCACGCTCCCACTGGGGCGGCTAGGGTGACTTGACATCGGCATCGATTGGGCGGCCGCCGGGGGGACGGCGACTGCGACGGCGACGACGTTCATTTCGGCGGCGGCCACGGCGGCGGCGACGACGACGGCGATGGCACCGGCGACGGCGGCGACAAAACAACGGCGGCAACGACGACGGCGACGACGACGACGACCAGACCGCCTAGGCGGGCCGCCCATGCCGAGCCCCTTGCGGCGGGGCGCCTCGGTCCCCATGGGCGCGGCCCCCGTGATGATGCAGGCCTCCGTCCTTGCTCCTTGGGCCGTCGGATCCAGGCGCCGTGCGCAAACAAAAAACCACGAGGGGCGTCCCCGCCCCGCCGTGGGCATCAGTTGCCCTCGCAGATTGGCCGAGGCCGAGAGGCGCAGCGGGCAGCCGGGGCAGCAAACTCGGGTCCTGTTTTTTCTTGGGGAGGGCCTCGCGGCACCGTGGTGTTTTCACGTTGGCTGGCGCCGGCGCTGTTGCTGCGGCTCCTCGTCGTCTTCCCTTGTCCAACTTAGTAGTGCAGAAGGGGATGCTGTTTTGGACGACGATGGTAGCGAGGACGCGTTAACGTTATTTGCACTGGTATTCGGAGGAGCTGGTGCTGATGATGGTTGTGGTGAAATTGATGGATTGGTACACCAGGGGCTCGACCTGAACGGTGATGTCGGCGATCTCGTGGGCCGTTTTCGTGTTGATTTCGCTTGGTGGCAAAGGCGGAACGAGGACCAGACGAGGGAAAACGAAACCAACACGAGAACGGGAACCACTGTTCAGGTCGAGCCCCGTGGTTTGCGGCCTTGCTCGTCAACTCGATCCCTGCGCCTGCTGCGCGCCTCCCCCTCGCGTTGCTGCTCCCCCCGTTGCTCCTGCTGCTGCTCTTCGTCGTCCCCTCTCGTGCTCCCCCCCGCCTGCATCCCCTCCCTCTCCGTTCTCCTCCCTTCCCCCCCGTCCTCCTCCTCCTCCATTCCTCCTCCTCCCGTCCTCCTCCTCCCGTCCTCCTCCTCCCGTCCTCCTCCTCCTCTGGAGCCTCTGGAGCCTCGGACAAGTCTATCCCTCACGCGGGTGAAAGATAGCCTGCAGGATTGTGGAAAAGGGGGGCTCAATGGACAGGAAAGGGGGTACCCACCACCTTCTTGCTGGTAGGGTCCTTCCCCTTCTCAAGCTCCTTCAGAGCTCTCCTGCCCCATTCGCCTGGCCCTCTGGGAGGGCACTCCTTGGCCAAGCCTTTCACCTGACCAGTGCCATAGCTCCCACATCTTGCACAGAAAAACGTAGTCCCACACACCCACATTCGATGGGAGGGGTGGGCCCTGGCAACAATCCTTGGGGTACCTGGGCAGCGCTGACTGGTCACGCGTTCTCTTCGGAGCGAGCTCTGACCACACAACCGACAGCTCCATCTACCCTCTTGCTTATGAAGGAGGTGCCCATTATCCCCCTTTACAAGTTTAAGAGTACACAGTAATTCACCCGCTACCTTTTGCTTTTCAGGCCTCTTCTGGACCTTTGGCATATCATCTACATCTGGAAAACCTTGCCTACTGAGATTATACAAAACACCTGACAGGAGTCTAACAAACTTAATCCCGAACTGCTCAGCGGCTCTGAGACGTTCAAGGATCTGGGGTTGGGACGGGTGACCCATAGCACCTAGCTTAGCATACCTATCGGCCTCAGAATTCCCAGCATGCCAGTGTGGGGGAAAACCGTTCCTGCTCAGCCACGCCTTGGATTTATGGGACGGCATCCAGACCAGCTCAAAGCTTTCTCTCCCCACGTCTTCGATTTTCCAGAAAATCAACCTCCAAATCTCAAAATACGGTTGGGACGGAACACGCATTATTTCAGCTCCTTTGTCCACGGACAGCAGCAAGTTCTTATGATCGGTGATGATGACCGCCTTCGGCCCCATCAAGCACAGGGCCATATCAAAGGCGAAATGTTCAGCGAGCCCTGCACTCTGCACCACGCCAGGCGTGGGGCCATAACACACAAGTCCTGCTTCGCGGGATCCTGGAACCAAGGTGCGACACGACCATCCCGAACGGGTTTGCCACTCCACTTCAGGATTCAACCCCGATCCGTCGATGAAAATCTCCAACCCCAAGTGGCCCCTGGGCCCCAGTCTTTTCTGGAAATTCTCTTCAGCCTCGGATCCCACGAGCGGTGGAGGGTATTCGTCACGTCCCGAGCCTGGAACACCATACTCGACAAGCGGACAATCTCCTGCTTCCCGACTGATATCCACAAGCTCGGCCATATCAAAGTCACGCCGCCACGCAGCCTGACCATCACATTCATATATATATATATATGTATATACGGTGCCGAATGGTGCCTGCCTGAGCTCCACAGCTTCGACACAGGTTGGATATGGAGTATCTTTCACAATACAGCTTGCTCTGGGTCCAAAGGCCTCCAGCAAGATGAGTGACAACTAAATCTGCCTGGATATGTTCACCCCGTCCCCTCATACGCTGCAGCTCCTGCTTAATGGGATCCAAATACTGCGTACAGTCCAACCCAAGGTGCTTCTGCGCTTGGATCTCCTGGGCCCTGCGGAGGCTACGATGGATGAGGCTCTTGAGGGTCTGGAGGCCTATATCGAGGAGGTCCACCACGAGTCCCTGGGCATCTTTCCACGTCACATAGTCTACCGCCACCCAACCCATGCGCACGAGGGTCTGGATAACAGCGCCAGCTGGACCTATCACCGAGCTCCACCCGGCCTTGGACGAGGCCGCGGCCGCGTCAAAGATGGTGGAAAGCAGTTTCCGAGGGAGCCACTCTTGGCGCAGTGCGGTATACCATGTCAATAGCGGTAACGTATTGACGACGAACGACGGGTCGAGGTCATACGGATCCGTTAATAAATACTGCACTGCACGCGAGCGCCCTTTAGCTTTCCCAAACAACACAAAGGATGCAACATATCGTAAACTGGCCAAGTCCGTCGTCGACATCCCCTGGACCCTTATACCATACGTTGCTGCCGCCATCCCTCCTGCCCGAAATACACGTTTCAGTCCCTTTCGGTGATGCTTAATCGAATGAAACCGACCAGCTCGCTTCCGAACAGACCAAATCTTTTGCCTGAGTGTCTTCTTCCCCTTCCTGAACTGCATCCCGAAATCGTGCCCGAGATTTTTCACAGAGGAATACGCTTTAAAGCAGTACCTAGACAGGGCCTTCTGCAACTTCTGGGCAAGCTGGCCACTCGAGGCCACAATCTGGCCCTTCTTCCTGGAGATGACCAAACCTAACAGCTCGAGACGACGACATAGGTCAGGCACGGCTGTGGCGATTTTCAGCTCCACGTTCCGCATGGAGCTTATCGCTTCGACGGTGATGTCATCCACCATCACATATAGAGTGAGCGAACTCCAACGTTCCTGCATACACTGCAAAGCATCGTGCAAAATGACCCTCAGGAGCTTCGTGGCAAAATAACATCCTGCTATGATGGATCTCGTGATCTGGATAGTGTCGGACACAATCTCACGCACTTTGGCGCGACGCTTACCACCATACACCATGAGCAACAGCCTGATACGACGCAAACTAAAGTTATGCTCCACACACGCGTGCCACAATACATCGTGCGGGATCTTCTCATAGCATTTCTCCACATCTATAAGAGCCGACGCTGACGACGCTTGTATTGCTTTGGCTGACTCGACCGACGCTGTTTGCTGCCATATCGCTCTCTCACAACTCTTCCCTTTCGCCCCATATATACATTTAAGCTCGTGTGCTCGCTCCCACTGTGCTGCTTCATACCTACGGATACGGCTTAATACTCTGATCGCTGTCGCCAGGATGCCAATGGGTCTGTAGCCACCATCTGGCTTCTGCAAGAAGGCAATCAGCGACGTGTCGCACTGCGCTGGGATCAGCAAGTGCGTCTCCACACACGAAAGAAACTTGGCATACACCTCGAGCGCCTGATCGCTAAGCTTCCTCAACGCAGCAGGGCTCCACCCATCAACTCCTACAGCTGTGTTCTTTTTGAACCGTTTGAGGGCTCCCTTGATCTGCTCCAGAGTCGGGACTGGTGGGGCATCTCCAAGGGGTAGTCCTAGGTGTTCTGCCGTGAGTCGGCTGGGCTCTCCTTCGTGCCATATGCTCCTCCACTCCTCCAGAAGGGACTCGACGGTGTCGACCTGGCCTGCGGGACCTCCAGAAACTCCAGTGGGGTCGGGAGCCCACCCAACGGGTTCTTTGGTGCACTTAAACACAGCCCCGCCACCAACTGCCAGAGAACTATTCACCCAGTCCCTCCAAACCTTCGTCTTGGCCTGCCTGGAGCACGACTCAACTACTTCGGCGAATTCTCGAACAGACTCAGCATACCCATCCAAATCATCAAGAGAAACGCCAGCCTGAAAACGTAACCTATCTTGAAACTCTCGCCATCCAGGAACAGCTGCTAGGTCGGATGTCGGCTTGCGGAGCTTGTCTACGAGATCCTTGGCCCCTGACGAGTGCCAGCTGTGTTCACGCTTCCGAAGGTGTCTGAGCTCCTCAAGACGGACCTGGAACTTCCTGAGCGCCCTGGAGGCCTTGGTGCACTTGGGATAGGGGCCCTTGACATTCTCCAAAACAGGCCTAGATACCAGATGATACCCAGCTCCTCTGCCGAAAAAGTGCGACCTATCAGCTAGAGGAATACCTAAGATGTCGGCGAGCTCTCCTTCCATCATCGCACACATGTCCGAGTACAAAAGGTTGAACTCGGTCTGGGTTGGCCTCTCGTCGAAGCCGTGAAACCTATCTAGCAGGTCGCCCCAGTTCCTCTGAGGCGCAAGTCCTATTGGCCCTTCGAGGGGAAAGGGCCGAGGCAACTTTAAACCTGCTTTGTCCGCCGATGGGTGTCCGTGGAGCGAGTTAACATTACCGGATAATGCGTTTTATTCCCTGACTCCTCCACCCTGCGACAGGACTTGATCGAGCCCACGAGGTCGCGCGAGACAATGGAAAAATCGAGCTCTCTCCACCGACCTACCCTGCACGTGGGCTGGTTGCCGTAAACGACGACACCCCTAATCTTGTGAATGATTGGCAACGCCTGCACTTCTGAAGGCAACGAGTTGAAGTCCGCGGCCCAGATGAAGGGCTTCTGAGCAGCGTAGAGAAATTCGCCCATCTGATTTATCAGCTGACGACCCCGTTCTCCCTGGACTCCTTCCCCATCAGGCAGATACATACTAGCTACATATAGTCCCCCTCGTACTCCTCCATTAACCCAGACAGTG